TCTCTGCAGGAGTTCCTCAGGGTAGTGTCTCAGCCCAACCATCTTCAGCTGCTTCATCAATGACCTTCCCTCCATCATAAGGTCAGAAGTGGGGATGTTCGTCGATGATTGCAAAATGTTCAGCACCATTCATGACTCCTCAGATACTGAAGCAGTCCATATTCACATGCAACAAGATCTGGACAATATCCAGGCTTGGGCTGACAAGTGGCAAGTGACATTCGCGCCACACAAATGCCAGGCTACGACCATCACCAATAAGAGACAATCTAACCACCATCCCTTGATATTTAATGGCGTTACCATCACTGAATCCCCCACTACCAACATCCTGGGTGTTACCACTGACCAGAAACTCAACTGGACTCACCACATTAACAGGTTTGCTACAAGAGCAGGCCAGAATCTGGGAATACAGCAGCGAGTAACTCACCTCCTGACTCCTCAAAGCCTGTCCATCATCTACAAGGCACAAGTCAGGCATGTGACGGAATACTGCCCACTTGCCTGGATGAGTGTAGCCCCAACAACACTCAAGAAGGTTGACACCATCCAAGACAAAACAGCCCACTTGATTGGCACTACATCCACAAGCATCCACTCCCTCCACCACTGATGCTCAGTAGCAGCAGTGTGTACTATCTACAAGATGCACAGCAGAAATTCACCAAAGATCCTCAGACAGCACCTTCCAAACCCATGAACAATCCCATCTAGAAGGACAAGGGCAGCAGATATATGGAAACACCACCACTTCCAAGTTCCCCTTCTAGTCACTCACCATCCTGACTTGGAAATATATCGCCATTCCTTCACTGTCGCTGGGTCAAAATCCTGGAATTCCCTCCCTAATGGCCTTGTGGGTCAACCTAAGCAGGAGGACTGCAGCGGTTCAAGAAAGCAGCTCACCACCACATTCTCAAGGGCAATTAGGGATGGGCAAGAAATGCTGGCCAGCCAGCAATGCCCACATTCCCACAAATGAATAGAAAATAAAAGTTGGCTTCATCAAGGTTGTTTTCTCCATACTTAGTCGGGCTTTTGTCTGGTACCAGGAAGAAAGGTAAGAATATAAGGTTTATAATAGGAAGGGCGAAACATCAAGAGAGTTCAATTTCTGTAACAGTGGGCAGGTTGCAAATTCCTCATATCTAATATTTTGTGAACTAGCTCCAAACACGATGGTCAATGCTTCTCTGGGATTTTGTTAGCAAATATCTGAGAGAAAATTTTAAAAGCAGAGGACAAGTATTGGCTATTTCACCACTAACACTGTGTGCTATCGAATTTTGGAGTGCTATGGAATGTTGGGGTGCAGCTGGACAGATCCTGAGAAATATATGTAAAAATGTTTTTTTTAAAATGAAATAATATCACCCGTGCTAGTGAGTTGCACTTTCAGATGCTGGTGCAAGATGTCACTATCCAAATGTGGTTTACACATAACTAAAACCCTCAAATTTTGGCTCTGTCCAGGGTTGCCTTTCAACATATTTGAAGATAATTATCTTTCCTGATTTCAAACATTCTATAAAGGGCCCTTGTGGTGCAATGATAATGCCCCTACTACTGACTGGGAGGTCTGGGTTCAAGTTCCACATGTTCCAGAAGTGCGTAATAACATCTCTGTACAGGTTGGTTAGAGAAATAGGTTAAATAAAACAAAAAAAATCAAACATTCTATAACTTGCTGAGCAAACTTTACAAATTCTACAGGTGAAGCAAAACATTTCGGTGTTGAAAGTGTCAAAGAAATTGGAATTCTTTTGTAAATTGTCACTCAACAAAAGTCTTTGGCATTTGCCATCCAACCAGTCCATCTTGCCTGAGAGCTGTAGCTTGATTTATTTATTTAGTATATTTTTGTGTCATGGCAGTGAAAAATGACATAACTATGGAACAAATCATTCAAGTCAAGTTCTTTTCACTTCATACTTAGAATTATGACTGCTAGAGACATTTCCTAATTTAATTTCTTTCTTTCCTGGCTTTTCTTCATAAATTGGATTGTGGTTTCTTTATTTAAACATTGCCCACATCATTCTTCAGTAGGGCTTATCACTGTGAAGCATCCAAATTGAGAAATATGAAAGAGTTTATCTTGATTTTTTAAAGTTGGAAACAAAACTGAATGGGAACACAAAGGTGTTTACTATCAGCTGTAGTTAAAAATGTAAACTGCAAAATTTTTCTTATCATGATAACATTTATTGACGGAATATGTAGCTCGACTTCTGCTTAGCTTTTGGTAGTAGATAGCATTGTAAATGGGAATAGTAATACCAAGAGACCAGTGTAATACAACTTGCTCAAAAGCAGTTTTAAAATGTAAAAGCACAACATACTACTGTGATATCCCATTTGGTGACAGAACACAATTTCCACAACCACATTTTAATCAGGTAAAATGAACCCGTTTCCTTATGCCATTATATCAGTGTCGTCACTGAAAGGATTTTATCAATTCAGGGAGAGTTCCCCCATAATCAGAGCATGTGGGGGAAAGACATGAATGCAGCCTCCTTAAATTGCAAAAACCGAAGTTAATAAAGCGTTCAATATTAAGAGGCTCATACAACTATAATGCTGGAAAAAGCACACTGAATGTGTGAAGGTTCAAGATCTCTAAAAAAAAAGGCCAAATCTTCTACTATCCAGATCATCAGAAATCAGATATCTGACCAAAGATGCACATTGGGACCATGTGGAAGCCCCAGTGTATTGACTCCCATGGGATTTACCCAGAAAGTTTTGCTTACAGATGGACAATTTCCCCTATTCTCTGAGTTAAGAGTCACAGATTTTGTATCGTTCTGGCATTTTTACACAGTTAGTTACCCAGGAAGGTTTTTTTTTGTTACTTTTGTTTTGCCACTGTTAGTTAAAAGGAACACAAACAAAACCAATTCAGGCTAAAGTTTGCCCCCACAATGCAAACCAAATGCTGGCATCATAACCAATGATTATTTTACAGTCCCATGATGCTCTGCTGCACTAGGCTGTCATCGACAGGAACCAGATGTCAGTCAGCTCCTGTCTGGCTTGCAGCACCCGATGCAGCTGAGCTCTGTCATAGACAAGAAAAGCTTCCTCAGTCCCCAGTGTCCTCCTCCTTGTTGGAGGTCCACTCCTGTTCCCCCAGTTCCTCAGCCTCAAGCACATCACCTGTAAAGAGTGGTGTGGGACATTCATTTCACAGTATATTGCAGATCTCTCCCACCAATCCAAGCAGTGGAACACACATCTTCAGCAGCCCTACTGGCTGTTAAAGCATGGCCCTGGTCATAGGTCATCAGGGGTGATGCAATGGTGTCATGAGCTATGGTTGTACCGGGTCACTCCCATCAGCCGGTAACCAGCTTTGTAAGGTTCCTGGACCCTCAATCACAACAGGTACACACTGTGCTCCAGGATGTAGTAGTCATGGTAGCTGCAGATCACCTGAACATTAATCAAATGGATCCCTTCCCACAGTGTTATGAACCAGCCCTCTCAGTGCTATGTGTGTGCAGTCAGTGGCATCCTGTGCCTGAGGGGAGGATGCCAGATGTACTTCCAGATCCTACTGCCCAGGCTGCAGCACCAATTGTGTCATCGGGAAACCAAATGAACCGACGTAACCTTGTAAAGGTGACATCAGCCCCTTTCTTGTTGCATGTGTGGGTGCACTGAGAGATCCTACACCCATCACTCCCTGGAGCGAGCCAGTCACATTGAGGTTCACAGCAGTTGTCACCATCAGAGCCGCCAGGAGAGGATGACCTTCCACTCTTGCAGGACTCAAGTCTGGCTCTAGCATCTGACATAACTGCATCATTGGTTGACAATCAATTGAGTGCGCGCCAGGTTTCATTTCACGCCTCCACCTGCAGGATGCTTTTTGAGTCACTGACAAGGGGTCACATCATCTGGAACATACCATTTCAAAGGGAGAAGCTGACAGCAGGCCATGACGGTGCACTCAAATAATGTCAATGAGGCCTAAGGCCTAGCTTCAGGCCAGCCTTGGATTTCCAATTTTGAATATGTGCTACTTATACAGTGTACAATGGAGCTGGTTAAACTCTGTTGGCATAGTAATCTTTATTCGAACTCGCTAATATACTCCACAGAACTTTTGGATGAGGAATACACAAATATCATTGAGTCCTTTTTATTTATACTGATTATAAGTTCCAGTATTATGGACATGCGATGTTATGTATATTACAGTGACAATTCTTGTGAAAGTTAGAGGATAAAACAATCATATTTTAACCAGAATGACCATCTTACTATATACATTTCTAGTGGCAAACTGATACCTACCTATTGCCAGTTTATTGCTTGTGATGTCTATAGCTCATGCACATTATGTATTCATCCATTTATGTACTGCCACTTTGTGTGTGTGTGTGTGTGTGTGTGTGTGTGTGTGTGTGAGAGAGAGAGAGAGAGAGTGTTGGGGAGGGTGGTGGTGAGGGAGGACACAGGGAAGGTGTCAGATCCATCTCCAAATGCAAGGCAATGTACCATGTCAAATGTAAAATGTATTTTTTAAACTAAGTTTTACTGTAGAAAGAATGAAAATGGCAGTAGGGAGAAAGGGGCTGTTTGTGCATCATTCTTCTTGCAACTACAGCCAACATGCTGTTTACTAGAGTACTGTGTCCAGTTGTGGTCAGCACGCTAGGATATGAGGGTCCTTAAGATGGTCCAGAGATTTATCAGAATGGTTCCATGGATACAGGCTACCAGGTCTGGCTGGAGAGGCTTGCAGCAAATGAGATTGAGGAGGAGGAACATGATTAGAAGTGTGAGAGATAGTAGGAACTGCAGATGCTGGAGAATCCGAGACAACAAGGTGCAGGGCTGGATGAACACAGCAGGCCAAGCAGCATCATAGGAGCAGAGAGGCTGACGTTTCGGGGCTAGACCCTTCATCAGAAAAGGGGGAGGGGAAGGGGGTTTTGAAATAAATAGGGAGAGAGTGGGAGGCGGATAGAAGAGGGATAGAGGAGAGGATAGGTGGAGAGGAAACAAACAGGTCGAAGAGGCGGGGATGGAGCCAGTAAAGGTGAGTGTAGGTAGGGAGTTAGGAAGGGGATAGGTCAGTCTTAGAAGTGTACAAGGTAGTAACAGGTTTAGATAAGGTAGACAAAGAAAAGCAGTTCACATTAGTGAATGGGACAAGGACTAAGTGGCACAAGTTTAAGGTTTTCGGGCAGGTGATGCAGCATGTTGTGAGGAAGAACCATTTTACACATCGCTGCAACTCACTGTCAATTAGATAACAGGGTGGATACTACAGAGAAATAAACTCACAGGAACAGAGTAAAGTAATGAGATTGACTGGATTGCTCTAGCCCAAACACAATGGACCCAATGTCTTCCTTCTATGTCAGTTTGACTCCAACACGCACTCACAAACGACATGAGAAACCATCAGTACAGTTGATAGATGAACGCTACACTCTGACATGGAGCATTTTCAGAATGAAATTACATATTCAGCTGAACATTATTAGTATTCAAAACAAAAAGTTCTCAGAGAAGCAAAAAGAAGCCATGTATCCTTTGCTACAACCGTCACCACTTATATTTACCCAAACATCAAATCTTTTCTGTGTGGTATGTCATAGCCCAGATTCAGCTGGCAACCATTTACTTATTTGGTAGATTTCCAGCATTATTCATTGTTTGTAAGGAAACGTATCCAAATATCAGACGTGAGTAGGATGGTATATGCATCTCTCTATATATATCTCTTAAGAACATGACACCCTATAGTGTAATAGCTGTTTGAGCCAAGAGCAATCAAGACACGGAAGAGTGATTTTCGTAGTTCACATCTTTGTGCATAATATTCATGCAAATGCAATAAATAGTACATCACATTTCAGCAAATGAATTCTTTTGACATTTTCCTGTTTTCACTCTGTCAATATGGCACCAAGAATTCAGCCAGTAGCTTCCTTGAGTATGTCCAGGTATAAAACTACAGTAGTCAGTAACAGTGCACAGTCGAGGTATGGCAGTTTTGACTCCAGTCTCTTGTGGAATAATATCACATCTTTGATATTTCCGCCTGAGAATTGTCAAATGAGGATGAGCAGTCTTTAGACATGGCTTTGTAATATATATATATATATATATATATACTATATATATACACACATATGTGTGTAATATGTATGTATATATGTACATATGTACACTTTGAAGGTCTCGGTGGAAAGCAAATTGCATCCTTTTCGTACCTTTGTTGTCGGCATTGACTTTATTTTAAGACAAAATGCAATGGTCGAAATTGTCATCCAGATAATCACTTGAAATGAATCCCAGCTATCTAAAAGTCTTCCAGCTGCTGGTTATGGTTATATCGAACAGAGTAAGTGGATGTGCAGCCCAAACCTGTTGGTTCCGTGATAGCACCAGATGAATTTGTTTCAGCAAGACATGTCCCAGCAGCCACTTTTTATAGTCTCATGTGAAATACCGACAGCTCGTGGAGTCAATGTAACAATATGAAGTACATTTCAGTTCCCCGTAAGACCTAGAACAAACAAATACAACACAAAGAAGGAACCAGAAACTTTTACAACTTCTTATATAAAGGACCGTATATTAAAAAAGAACTGGATTAGATAAGACAATCAAAATGCAAACAAAGATGAGAAGATAAAAAGAAAATGCATAAATCCAAAATAAATGGGAACTAACAATTAGTACTGGAAATGCACAATTTATCAGTTAGTACATAAAAGGTGAAAATGGTTAATCTTTGTCTGCACCCTTTGTTAGATGAGTGGCTAACTGACAGGCATTTTATTCTCCTGGACTGCTCTTGTGGGCATTCTATTTGATGTTTACGAAGTGCTATTGACAGAAGTCTGGTTGCAGCTTTCTGTGCAAAAAAGGAAGTAATGAGGACTCTTGTGGTGCAGTGATAATGTCTCTACCTATGGACAGAAAGCCCAGGTTCAAACCGTATCTAACCTCGACATGGATCTAACATGCTTGAACAGGTTGGTTAAGAATATCTCAAAAGCTTGTAAAACTCTTTTGAAGTATTTTCAAAGTAAAAATTCTAGGCACATGTACTCCTTATCAGAGATTGCTTCAAGAAATTACTGTATGTAGGGCATCAACATGCAATCTTTAAGTGAACTTACCCTGGAAGATAGGTTTTACAGGTTTGGTAACCAAAATCTTTACCATCGCATTCTTCAAATCCCTTCCATAAGTATCCATCTCCACAGTAGGCTTGCTTACAATCTGTAGTAATGCAGCAAAACAACAATTGTTTTATTAGAAGTACATGACGCAGATCAGCAATCCTGTTTAATGGAAGCATGGAAGATGGGTGCAGGATTAGGCCACTTGACCCTTCGAGCCTGCTCCACCATTCATTATGATCATGGCTGATCATCAAGCTTAATCCCCTTATATCAACATCCAACCGTATCCCTTGATCCCTTTCACTATATCTACCTCCTTTTTGAAAACACAATGTTTTGGCCTCAACCCCTTTCTGTGTTAGTTCCCCTCTGGTGAGGAAATTTCTCCTCATCTCAATCCTAAAAGGTTCACCTGTTATCCTTAAACTATGCCCCCAATTCCATTGGCAGTATCCTTCCTGCATCTAATCTGTATAATCCTGTTAGAATTTTATAGGTATCTATGAAATCTTCCTCATTCTTCTAAACTCCAGTGTATATAATCCTAACCGACTCAATCTCTCCTCATACGCCAGTCCTGTAATCCCAGGAATCAATGTGGTAAACCTTTGCTGCACTCCCTCTATAGCAAGATCATCCATCCTTAGATAGGAAGACCAAAACTGTACACAATGTTCCAAGAGTGGCTGGAATACAGTATGCTCTGTATAATTGCAGAAAGACATCCTGTTCCTATACTCAAATCCTCTCACTGTGAAGGCCAACATACAGTTAATCTTAGGAGCAAATTACTGCAGATGCTGGAATTGTATTGAAAACAAAAATTGCTGGAGATCACAGCGGGTCAGTCTGCATCCTTGGAGAGACAGCAAGCTAATGTTTCGAGTCTAGATGATTCTTCATCAGAGCTGAAGTGAAGTGCGGAGAGGACAGCATTTATGCAATGGAGGGGGTGGGTTGGAGTGCTGGGGCAGAAAGGATGTTGATAGTTCAGATTAAGTGATTGGAATGTGAGAATGGCAGAACAATGCCAGACTGGAAATATCACACAGTCTCATTGGGGGAGGGAGAGAGAGGTGACAGAGACCATAACAAGCAAAGCTAAAAGAAATGGAAGGAATGAGTACACAATCTGAAGGTGTTGAACTCAATATTGAGCCCAGAAGATTGTAAAATGCTTAGTTTGAAGATGAGATGTTGCTCCTCCAGTTTTCGCTGTGATTTACTGGAGCATTGCAGCATGTTGAGGACAGACATTTGGGGCTTGCGAGGAGGACACTGCGTTAAAATCACCAACCACAGGAAGGTCGGGGTCATGCTTGCACATAGAGCAGAGGTGTTCTGCAAAATGGTCACCCAGTCCGCAGAACACCTCTGGTCCATTCCCCTGTTTCCGCCTGTAAGGAATCTACTTTAGTTTTCACCGATCTTTTTCTTTTTACATACCTAGAGAAACTTTTACAGTCAATTCTTATGTTCCACACAAGCTTACCTTTGTACGCAATTTTCCCCTTCTTAATCAGTCCCTTGGTTCTCCTTTACTGACTTCTCAACTTTTCCAATCCTCATGTCTATTACTTTTTCTTTTGTCAATTTGGATGCCTCTTTTTTGCACCTAATACTATCTCTAATTTCCTTGTAAGCCATGGTTTAGCCACTGTTCTGTATGCACTCTTGTGATGAGAATAAACAATTTTTGCAATTCACCCATTCTTTCTTTGAAAGTTTGCCATCATCTCTCCTTTTAGTAACATTTCCCGAACCACCGTAGCCAATTCATTTGACATACCAATGTAGTTTCCCTTATTAAGTTTCAGGACCATAGACTCAGAATTAACTAACTTACTCTCTACGTTGATGAAGAATTCTGTCATACTATAGTTCCTCATCCACAAAGGGTCTCTCATAGCTGCATTGCCAAATATTCCTTTCTCATAATACCCAGACTATCAGGGCCTGTGCTTTCTTTGGTTCTCGACATATTAGTTCAGAAAATCATCCCGTATTCACTCTAGGAAATCCTCCTTTACAGTACTGTGACTAATTTGCTTTGCCCAATCTATACGCGAATTAAAGTCATCCATAACTACAAATGCTCCTTTAAAGCATGCATCTCTGATTTCCTGTTTAATGTCATTTCTAATATCACCACTAATGTTTGTGCCCCTGGTATTTTTCTACCCACATAGATTCTACATTGTCTTAGGTAATAGTTTTCTTTAATATTGTGTTTACATCCTCTTTAACTAATAATGAAACTCCACTGCCTTTCCTTTTTGTCTGTTCTTCTTAAATACTGAATACCTCCAGATGTTCAGTTCCCATCCCCGGTTACCTTGCAGCCATCTCTCCATAATCCCATCTATATCATACCCATTTACATTTATTTGTGCGAATAATTTATCCACTTTATTTTGAATGCTCTCTGCTTTCACAAAGTATTAAAGCTCGTCTTTTTAACATTCCTTGTTCCATTCCTGCTATTTTTTTACTGTGGCCTTGTTTGATTTTGGCCATTGATTTCTCTACCCATCACTTCTCTTATTTCCCGTTCTGTCTTTTGTTCTTGTTCTTGATTCCCCTTCCGCTGACTCCTTGCAGAGGTTCCCACCCCCTGCCAATTTAGTTTAAACCCTCCCCAACATGATCATAGAATCCCTACAGTGTGGAAACAGGCCCTTCCGGCCCAACAAGTCTACACCGACCCTCAGAGCATCCCACCCAGACCCATCCCCCTATAACCCACCTACTCTACACATCCCTGAACACTACGGGCAATTTAGCATGGCCAATCCACCTTGCCTGTACATCTTTGGACTGTGGGAGGAAACCAGAGGAAACCCACGCAGACACAGGGAGAATGTGCAAACTCCACACAGAGTCACCTGAGGGTGGATTCAAACCCGGGTTCCTGGCGCCGTGAGGCAGCAGTGCTACCCACTGAGCCACCATGCCACCCTACTCTAGCAAATGTTCCCCATTTGGGCATCAGTCTTGGTCTGCTCAGGTGTAACCTGCCCAGTTTGCACTGGTCCCATCTCCCCCAGAACTGGTCCCAATGCCCCAGGAATCTGAAACTTTCCCCCTCACACCATCTCTTTAACCACGTATTCGTCTGAAATATCCTGCTATTTCTACTCTGATTAGCATGTGGCATTGTTAGTAATCCTGGTAGTTTCAATTAAATTGTATTTAAAAGTCTACTTTATAACATCAATACACATAAAGAGTAGAAAGTGTAATCTGCACAATTTTTAAAACATTAATTAACAAAATTACAATATTGTTTCATTTTCCAAAGAAAATATATGTAATGCACTGTGCTTCCCTGTATGCTGTTCACTGGTTGCAAGCTAAGTTAGGAAACAATTATTGAAGTAATTCAAGAGAATTATCGATTAATTGTTGAATATTACTTTTCATTCCCAATTGTACAGAAATTATATAATTGGGTATCAAGATTTTGCAGCTGTCTATATCAATGGCACTAATTACAAGTCTGGTAATTTTTCTGGACATGAGGGATGATTGTTAATAGAACTCCATGTATTTGGCTGTAAAATTAATTTGATATTGTTTTGCTTACTGAGGCAGCTTTCTGGCAAGAACATTACTGCAGATTGGCAATAAAATGTTGTTTCTCAATCCAGTGCACTCCAGGCTATATCATTCCTCAACTGTTAATGTGTCCTTGCCCATTTGACTGGCTATTTTGAAATCACTCGGCCGAGGGTAATCTTAAGCTTGGTTTGATTCAGATCCTTGGTTTGCAAGAGACTGGGCTTATTTTCCTCACCTTTTCTCATAAAATACTCAATTCGCCGGGAGCAATGGTCAGGAAGAAGGTATAAAGGAGACCTCATCACTTTCCCTGTACTGTTGTTTTCAGATATTTGGGGCTGTATAGATGAGGGAGTGAGCCTTGTCAGCACCAGGAGAACATGTAGCCCAGATAAGGAATTACAGTGGGGCAATACAGAGTGATTTTAGCATTGATCTGATTCCTTAGTGTATTACTTATGAAATGAGGATGCAGTAAACTTGCTTATGTTTACAACATCTCATCAACCCCTTTCTCAATTCAGCATCAAATCTGGACCTTCTGGCTACTGATGGTCCTTTCTGCTGTATAAGATGTTTGGTTCAGAAAGGGTTAATGTTGAGGAATGCACCACCAACATGGTGCCATTGCGATTTTGGCTGCGGTACAGCTCTGCACCTTGAAGAAGATAGACCTACCATTTATGTCTCTTCATAGCCTTAGTACAATGTCTATTCCATCAATGTTACTTGTACCTAGTTGATATCTTACAGTTAACCACATCTTGTTTAAGACAGAAGTCTCTTCTAGTTCAACAACTTTGTCTTTTCTCACTAGATGCAGCAGGCCCTGTAGATCGTAAACTGAAAGATGAATGGTGGCAACAAATCCACATTGTGGTGACCAAGGGTCCAGTTCATTCACTCTGCATGGAAAGCAGCAGTAATAATACTTTATACAACATTTTGCTAATGGTGGAGGTTGTTTCATCTTTCAACATAGCCCTAGGTGGTTATCCTACAACCACCTCCAAAGCTAACCTTTAACTGGGGGAATCGGCCTTTCTCCCGGTCATTTAAATGGATGTGAAGAGAAAACCCAGGTAAACCCAGGATTTCAAGTTTGTTATCAGTGTCCAGGCAGTAGGCAATATAGTTGCAAGAAAATCAGCTATACCAATTTTGATTTTCCTAATATATTGAGTTCAGCTGACCAAAAATAAAATTGATGGCATACAGATGTACATTTCCAATGAAAACCTTAAGAAATTTTTTTAACAAAATATAATGCTTGATAACTTACTTATACAGCTATCGGTGACAATCTTGTTTCCATCATCACACTCTTCCCCATTTTCCTCCTGAACGATTCCATCTCCGCAAAACCCTGCTGAATGTGGCGAAGAAGGTGTGAGCTGTGCAGGGGAGACCTATATGAAAATAAAGTACATGAGGAAGAATAATTATTTCCCTCAATAGTCTCACTATTGGTAATTTTCAGATGGTTTGCCTGGCTCCAAGATTTGAAGTAGGATCAAAGTAGCACATTTTACTTATTTTTATCTGTTCATGGGATGTTGGTATCTCCAGGAAGGCCATCAGATTTGCCCACCTTATTACTAACAGCAATTCCACAAGCATGATCATGGTACCTCCTTTTATATCAAAACCAAAACATAAACTGACACCAAGCAAATGAAAGCGACATTAGGACATGTGACCAAATGCCTGATTACAAAGAGTAGTGTTTAGTAGCACTTTAAAGGAAGACACAGAGTTGGAGAGGTGTACAAATTTAGGGAAGGAATTCTCAAACTTAGAATCTAGATAGCGTAGACACAGCTAGCAATGTTGTATGTAAGGAAGTGGGGTGTACAGATGACAGTCATTGCAAAGGCTTCTAGGGCTGATGGACAGAATAGAATTAGGGAGGAATGGTGATAAGGAGGAAATGGAGCCCAAAACAATGATGGCACACCACAAAGTGAAGCTACAATGTTAATTCATGATAACTGTATAAGGACCAGATCTGGCCATGTCATACACTCACCAAAACATTATCTGACTGTATAGAGACAATATATGTACATGTCTCCTTCTACATGCTGTGGTAAAATGTTTCCCATTTTTTAAAGGGAAAAGAAGGGATGTTGTTTTATGGCATAAATTCTAGGCCATGAGGACAGTGTACCTTTAAGGCAGTTGCATGAGATCACAACCTGCGATGTTCTGGTATAAAAGTGCCAACCTTACCTCAGTCACTGTCTCCATGTAATTGATTAAAAGTAGGGCCTTCGATCAGTCAGCGATACATATGTACAGTGACATCTGCAGCACAAAACTGAGACTATGTAAGCAAGTAATAACAATTTGTTCATGCAAAAATCTTGGACTTGTATGTGCTGTCCTGGTGCAAGTTGGGATAATTGTCTACATGTTTATTGGTCATACTTTTGTAAAATTTTAAAATTGAAGTATTGGTGCACCTGAGGCCTATGTAGATTAGTGAGTGAACAGGACTTTTAAGTTAGAATATGAACAGCAAGAGTTTACGAAAGGTGGAAGTAAGAAAGTGAACCGAAGGACTATTGGAACAGAAAACCCTCGGGGCAATAAACTGGAATCTTTTCAGTCAAAAAACTTTTAATGTTTTACTTACCTAGTTCAGGAAATCTTGACAAATGTCAGAAAGATTCCTTTGATCTCGTTGACTAGAGATATCAGATAAACTGCCCCTTGTTGATGCAGCCTTTAATTGAAGTAAGTGTAAGAAACTGACAATTTGACATTAGCCAGTTCTCAACAACTTGACGTCACTCTTCACAGGCTTGCACAAGTGCCATTGCTAATTCTTCCAAGAGTAAGATTGGGGCAAGCTCAGGGTGAACTCTTTCTTTTGGCTCCTGACGACAGTTTGAGACAAAAGGTACATTTTTTTTCCCTCTGTGGACACAAACTATGCTCTCTATCCTATCACTTCACTTGCATGTCTTAATGAAGGTTGGAATGATCAATTTATTTGGGGAAAGATGATTTCATCCATTTGGCTTAGTGCCTGAAGCCTGGAAGGTCAGTGCATGACATGTCTCTGGGCTGCCAACAATTTCTTAGTTACTGAGAGCAAGGAAACATCTCTAATTATTGAAGTATGACTCACGCATTTTCTTTCCCTTCTTCACTATAGAAAGATGCTACAACCTCTAATTAGCACTTCCCAAGTGGAGATGGTATCCTTCAGATCAACAAAAGATATAGTGAAGGATTTAAACGCTTATTTTTCTCTCACCCAGGGCATCCCAAACATATGCTTCAAGACAGGATTTCTCAGTGCAGCATTTAAAGGAAGCACATTTAAAGGATGTTTGTGAATTCATATGTGCGTTGCAGACTTTTATTCTGCAACAAAGCATATTGAGAAGATTTCACTTTATTTATTTTGCTTTTCCAATACTAATAGGAAATTCTGCTTGACTCTCTTGATGTGCTTGGTGATGTTCAATATGTTAGTCTGCATAAAATATACCTAAGATTGTAGGGTATTGTTGAAACAGACATCTTGAGATCTATTAATAAATCTATTTTAGCAGCCCTAATATCACAGACTTGCATACATAGACTAGGTTTTGTGAGATGGATGTTACTGTACATATGTATATCTGACTGACCAAAGGCTTTACATTGAATTGACTACACAGAGCAGGTTATTTTGCTTTTATTTTCTCTCCTTTGTTCCAAGTGTGTTTTCTTAGGTTGGAACTACCTTATCAACATTTAAATTTCTTTGATTTTAAACTTTAATTCATTAGCAGCCTCTGATGTTTGATCTTTCTAAAAGAGAGTGAGGTAGAGTAATCATTGTGCTTCTGCATTGATTTTTTTAGTCTGCAGTTTAAAGTGGAACACTTTAGTGTTGGTTATAGTTGTAGTTGTTCATCTCTGAACTTGGACAAATTGACAGATGAATATTAGAAAACAAAGCTTCTCAACTGCCACACTCATCACCTCTTCAGCGTTTAGCACCCAAATCATTTGTCACCTCTAGCTTTCAGTAGCATTTAGTGCCCACTTATTGCTATCATGATACAGTTTATGCTTTACCATAGGTTAGTCTGCATAGAATATGCCAGGAAGTTGGGTTTTCGTTAAGACAGATGTCTTTTTTCACAACACTAAAAATTAATGAGTACACTATCAAAACGTAGACATTTGGTCAAAATGTTCCTGTTCAAGCTAAAGTGTTTTCTCGAATGAGATTCAAGGTGCTAAATTAACCACGGCTGAGAGCAATGGGCTTCAACTCATTCATTATTCGGCTATGATTTTACGCACCTTTACGGAGAATTGTGTAGCCAGAGGCAGAAGTGTTCACCACTGCTGCCATATTCTGGCTTTCACACCATTGGTGCCATATCTAAAGCCCAGCTGCACATTATTTCAGAAGTTGTAACTCCCCTCACACTGTGGTCCTTGACCAGTATCACTGAGGACATGTCGTACAGGTAATGGAAGGTTGCTCCTTGCTTCACCCTAAGGGAATTGGAGGTGTCGGTGGACTGTGATGAAGAGAAGGGCAGTCCATGTTCCCTTAGATTGCCAAAGGACGCCATGCTAATAGACTAAATCAAGCTGGACCCAAATTGCACTCCTGATGTAGCACCGTGTATTGAGTGAAGTGGGATGCCCAGTAGTGCAGAAAGAAGGTCAATGATCTGCACCCTGCAACCATCTTCTCTCTTCTACCTCACACTCACACGGCCACAACTCACTCTATCTCTGCCACTGCACACACATCTCACCAAGTATCATGGACTACAGATCTCACTACTACATGCAACATGTCCATGTCCATAGTAACCTACCTCATCTCCTAAACCACTAACTCTTCCTACTCTCTGCGCTTCCTACTCGCTCACATGAGATACCTCACCTCATATTGTGCCCCTACATCACTGTTAAATGCCCTTCCATCTACTTCCACTGTATGCAGGCCCTCCTTTCCCATAGCCCAGATAAATGTCTCCACAGTACCCTGACTGACTTAACTGCCACTCCTGGACTTGTTGCATTTAGCCTGCAGGACTGACCATGGCTCATCCATGGACTGCAAAAAACTTGGATTCCCAGACTCTGATAGGACCAAATGCCTAACTGATCATGGGCAACTCTCTGAACTGGAAGTGGAAGAGGCCCTTGACTGACCATGACAGTACCCCTGACTGACCAGAGTGCCCCTTGTTCCCACTATACTCCATTTTGACTTTCACACACAAACATTAGTTTGCAGTACATGCAATGTGTTTGTTGTGTAAAATGCCAGCAATGTTGCAGGTGTATACTGACTTTATAGCATGGTTATCACACAGTGACATGCACATCTCATTGACGGTTCAGTGTACCCAACTGCAACAAACTGCCCATCTCTTAATCCGCACTAAGAAGCAATGTGAGCCACATAAAGGCTAGCAGCCCCTAATCCTGTGCTGAATCAGTAAGTGCACTACTTAAGCAATGGGAGATGGACAGAGTCTGGCAACTACAAGTAACCTCAACGTGAGCGAGGACTAGAAAAGTAAGAGCCAAATGGTGTATTCCATGTCCATGCAGGAGATGGAGGTGCATCCCTATATACAAGGTTAGCAGACAGAAGCAAGTATGTTATAGGTGTCCCTCAGCTACAAGTAAAGTGTTAAAGGGCTGATGTGGTGTGAGAGTTGGTCTGAGAACAGGCATGATGATGTGGTGAGCCTGGTGGTTTGCCAATGCCAACTTGTGTGCTCAATAGTGAGTTCCAGAAGTGCCATTTAAGGCTTAAGGGGAAAATCGCCAAACATTTTCTCGACATCAAGACTGACTTTCTGTTCTCTTTGTATTTTCCCAACATTCTTGTCATTGTTCAAGCCACACCAGGGAGTGGAACAAAATAACTTTAGTTTGAGTCTGTGCTTACTGGTGTTACATTACACATGCTTAGCTGACTAAAGCTACTTCTTGTCTCCATTTATGTGGAGAAAGTGGTTGAATGTGAAGCAGCTACCTTTATCATATCATGATGTCATGCAACTGTCTTAAAGGGACAGTGCTTGTGAGGGCTGCAATCTATGACATAATACAACATCCACTAATTTCATTCAAATTTCTAATGTGCACTCCCAAGGTGTGCTGTATGAGTACAAATTTGCAAGATTATCCTGACAGTTTTAAGGTGCTCCTTCATCAGTTTTACAGCAATTTCAAAAAAAATGTAAATAGCCAATAGTGAATATTTACTGATTAGAAAAGCCTACCTGAAATTTAAAATGTTACGAGAACACTTAGGTCGTCATTGTATGCAACAGATGATTCAGAAGGAGGAAATATAAAGAAATTGTTTTAATGCTCTCCTTTCTCTTTTTTAATATTCGGGATTAGTTCAGCTTGTACTACATTTTGATGTCCCTGTGGAAACATTAAAGAACTATCCTTAATGAATTTGAAGAAAAGTCAGCCCAGGGACATAAAGTTATGACATTCTGGATGAGAGCCAAGCATTTACTCACTTATGCCATCAGGCCTCACAAGTCACATTGACAGTTCAAAAAGATTAATTCCTCGCAATGGCTGTTAGGGCTCACAAGAGCTTAAACCATGGCATTGTCAGAGTGAAATTCTCGTTGAGTCAAATTAACAAAAAAGAGCTTTAAGACAATGAAATCTAGTTTTCTGCCCCTCCACACACCACAGTCACCTTGAAAATTGTTCAATTAGTGCTGAGTGGGCAGGACTATACCCCTTTGTTAAAGTTGCTCAGGAGGTTTGAGTTATAAAGAAAGGCTGGATAGGCTGGGACTTTTTTCATTAGAGTGTAGGAGGTTGACAGTTGACCATATAGAGATTTATTAAATCATCAAAGGTGTAGATAGGTTTAATGGTTGGTGTCTTTTCCCTAGGATGGGGGATGTCAAGACTAGGGGGCATATTTTTTAAGATGAGAGGAGAGAGATTTAAAAAAGACATGGGGACAAATTTTTTGCACAGAAGGTGGTTCACATGTGGAATGAACTTCCTCAGGAAGTGGTGGATGTTAGCACTGTTACAACGTTTAAAAGACTCTTTGATAAGTACATGAATAGGAAAGGTTTGGAGGGATTGGGCCCAGAGCAGGCAGGTGGGACTAGTTTAGTTTAGGGTAATGTTTGGCATGGACTGCTTGGAACGAAGGGTCTATTTCAGTGCTGGATGATTCTATGGCTCTCTGACTACAACCCTCTGCTTCTCTACATGAGCTCCTGGTAATTAATCCCATTGACATGTGGATAGGTTAGTGAGAGGTGTTTGTACAAATAGCATACTGATGCAGGAAAACTTGAATTCTAATGTATTCTCTGCTACTTACATCGTTTCAAGCTGAGCGTAGGGGATGTTTGGATGTAAATAGAATTGTGATTGCCATTCACCGAGCACAGTCTTGCACACACCAAAGAGGATAAAGAAAGAAATTTTGTTTCGTTGTTAAGAAATTTAAAAAAAAATCTGGAGGTAGCTTGCTTTCTGATACTGCTATGTCCTCTTTGGAGCAACTCGTCTGTCAGTAGTTGAACACCAGTAAGTCAACGCTCCCAAGGCCTGAATGGTGACTGTAATTTGTCGTTTATTTGCATGGTTGCTAGAAATCACCATTCTATTTCTTCCTGGCTGATTCAACATGAGAGACTGAGCATCATTCATAAATGCATGCAAGCTTCATAATCCATGGCTGTAGGAACTGTCAAAAGAGATTCCAACTTTCTTATACATAGTTGAAATTAAACATTAAGTGTTAGAATTTTAATAGTTCTGTCTTTTTATTGTGATATTTTCAGAGTGTCAGATTAAATGCTCTGTCATTGCATTGACAAATCTGATTAGTCAGAAGCCAAAGCCAGCCTGGCATTGATCTGGTTGAAACATTTCTTAATCACATGACTTCCAGCAGAGATTGTCTCATTTCTAACAGAGAATGGAAGAGACTGAAAAATAAACACAACGTGTCTGCCTCCGAGACAACAAGGTGCAGAGCTGGATGAACGCAGCAGGTCAAGCAGCATCATAGGAGCAGAAAGGCTGATGTTTCGGGCCTAGACCCTTCATCAGAAATGGGGGAGGGGAAGGGGGTTCTGAAATAAATAGGGAGAGAGGGGGAGGCGGATAGAAGATGGATAGAGGAGAGGATATTGGAGAGGAAACAGACAGGTCGAAGAGGCTGGGGTGGAGCCAGTAAAGGTGAGTGTAGGTGGGGAGTTAGGGAGGGGATAGGTCAGTCCAGGGAGGACGGACAGGTCAAGGGGGTGGGATGAGGTTAGTAGGTAGGAGATGGGGGTGCGGCTTGAGGTGGGAGGAGGGGATAGGTGGGAGGAAGAACAGGTTAGGGAGGCGGGGACGAGCTGGACTGGTTTTGGGATGCGGTAGAGGGAGGGCAGATTTTGAAGCTTGTGAAATGCCTCCATCCTGCTTACTTCCAGTTGTAATTAAGAGGTCGCTGTCTCAAATGGGCAAATGAAGGGACAGCTAAGAAAATCTAAATTTATGTATAATTTTGAAACACACTTTTATTACTGACATTTGTTTCCCACTGTAATATTCATACAGTACAGCAGATGGCAATCTCCTATGACAAGAAAAGCCGTTTGCATTTTCAAGAAAGCTGAAATGTGGAGGCCCACCTTTAATAGCTGTTGTTCACATTGGATTGTTCCAGCACAGAAACACAGGAATAAAAACTATAAGAGGCAAGAGTAGGAAGAGAAACTCTTTCTACTTCCTGTTACATTGAATTTGCAGGGTGAGTTTAACAAAAAATAAAACTTTTGGAAAGAATGCAACAATTAAACTTGCACTACCTGAATCGGCAGCCATCCACCAGTGTCTTTGAAGTACAGTGACCTTTGATCTTTCCGGAAAGCTAGTGCATTTGCAGTGTTCAGCTTTTCCAGCTCTTCTTCATTGTCTACAACAAATATCTAAAAAGAAAATTTGTTAAATATTGTTTTGATATTACAATATTTGCAGGAAAGTCAGGATGGATGCAGTTAGAAAAATTGAACCAGCTCAAGAAGTAAGAAATACACTGTTATTTTGGCCTTTCTGACGGCAGTGTTATTAGGAGCAGATTCCAATCATTTACATTGATTACATTTCACTGTTTTTGTGCACTGGCATTGCTTGTTCCATCTTTACAGACAATTTAATGCATCTTTTTAATGTTAATTTTTGGCTCCATAATGAATAAAGCTTTGATTTCAGCTATGAATTTCATTTGGAGAGAGATCGATGTCACAGTTTCGCTCACACCTAATTACAACAACAACCTAAGGAAGATGCAGGAAAACTTATGAATGACGTACAATGGTCCAACACGCCATGTGGAGCTCCAATAAGATCAGTATGTTTATCTCCAAGTACTACTGGTTGGTCTTATACTTTTCTTTCCCCTGTATGAACTACACAAGAGCATGTAGACATGCACAAATACACAAAACCAGCTAAATTATGTACAGAGTTGGAATTGATTGCAACGTAGGATTTTAGGAACAGGTGTGGACCATTCAGCCCATCGAGTCTGCTCCACCATTCAATAAGATCATGGCTTCAACTCCACCTTACTATCTGTCTTACTAATAATCTCATCACCACTGAATTGAATCTATTGAATGAATGTCAAGCCTCCAATGATTTCAGAGGGAAGAGAATTCTATGTACCAATGATCCTCTGCGAGAGAAAAAAGAATCCTCCTCATCTCAGCCTTAAAAAGAAAGTGTCTAATTCTGAACCTGTGTCCACATCTCCTAGTCTCCCCAAAAACATACTCCCAGTATCCATCCTATCAAGTCCCCTCACCATCTTATATGTTTCAACAAGATTCTAGTGAGTTCCAATGGGTACACACTCAACCTTTCTTCACAATATAAGCCCAGCATCCCAAAAAAAGCCCTTAATTGGCCACTCACCACTGCCTAGAGAAAAATTCACTGCACTAAACGAACAATAGTTGTGTAGAGATGCTCCCAACATCAAGACTGACCTACATGGACTTCTTGTCTGATTCTGCCACACATCTCACCATAGTCTATGTTGCTCAGACCCCTTTAAGATTCTACGCCATGTCTTCTACAGTGAAGGTAGACACAAATTATCTTTTTAATGCCTCCATCATAATTTTTATTCATTCATTCATGGGATAAGGGCACCACCAGCTAGGCCTGCATTTATGCCTGTACCTAATTACCCTGAACAAAATGGTTATGAGCAGCCACCTTGAATTGCTGTAGTTCTTGAGATGTAGAGATAGCCACAGTGCCGATAGGAAGGGATTTCGAGGAATATTTCCCAGGCACCGTAAAGGAATGATGGTACGGTTCCAGGTCAGGATGCTGTGTGCCTTGGAGGGGATCTTGCAGATTGTGGTAGTTACATGCGTCCAGTGCACCCATCCTTTTGGGTTCTGGAGGCCGCAGATTTGGAAGGTGAGTTTGAAGGAGCATTCATGAGTAACTACAATGCATCTTGTAAATGGTACACATTGCAAATTAGTGCTAAAGGAGAGAGAAATGTTGAAGGTGGTGGAAGGGATACCACACTCATCCAGGCCATTTCCTTGTTTTCAATGGTCAATTCCCCAGTCTCACTTTCTAGAGGACCAACAATAGCTTTAGGTTCTTTTCCTATTTGAATATTTATAAAAAAAAACTCTTACAATCTGTTTATTTTACCAGCTAGTTTTCTCTCATACTTCAGTTTCTTTATATTTTTTCATCAATCTTTGCTGATTCTTTAAACCCGACCAATCTACAATCTACCGCTAATATCTGCCAAATTGTAAAGTATTTCTTTAATTTTGATATTTCCTTTAACTTCCTTATTCAGTCATGGAAGATGCATCTTTCTCACTAGAATTGGATAAGAAGGCAACAAGACAAACATTTTTGGATATAAATGATGGTTCCCCACTAAAATCTGTACTTACCACTGGTACTTGTGCAGAGTTGATCAAAGGTGGGAGTTCACTATACGATGGATTGCTTACGGTCTGAGGGAGATTACAGTAACATCTTCCTACTGGCCCTGGGAGTCCTCTTTCACCTTTTGGTCCAACAATTAAGCGACCTTTTAAACAAAAATAATGGTCAGTCAAGAACAACATACTTCTAATTTTCTTTATGAACTCCATAGTTGATTCATTTCAGTGCACCTTTCACCCTTCTTGTTATACATTAACATATTAATATTCTGAAATCAGACAGTAAAGTAAGCTCCTTTAAATAATCTTTACTCACTATATGGCAAGGTATTGCATGAGGGAGTGGGAGTGGAGCTGAGCATGATACATCAGACAACATTTGAAGTTCTGTATAATTCTGTATAGCTAATAGCCACATTACTGCTCATGACAAGTGTAAACTAGTATACAACACATTATAAGTATCCCTGTGCCTAGAGGGTACCACAATTCAAGCAATTTTCATCAACAAGGCACAGGCCCACTGTAGATTTCTACACTGGGAGCAATCAACAAGGGCATCTCTCATTCAATGGTCTTCCTTGGGGTTATCGGGGAGGAGAAGGCTTGTAGGCCCACTGACACCCATTCTTTGCCCTTCCTTCTGACTCCATTCTTGCTGCCTGGTTAACAGCCTGGCACCCTTTGCAATCCTAGGCCTCTCCCTGGGTGTTTTACTAGTGGCACCCAATACTCCCATTGGTCTATGATTGACTAACAGCTCTCAGTGGGCAGGAATTCCACTCTTGTGTCCTGAATTCTGGGCAAGACACCAAGCTGCCAGTTAAGTGCTAGTTAAAGTACTTAATTCTGTCAGGCCTTTCCTCAATGAAGATGCCATGGAACTACATCCAGTTCTCATCATTAACGTTCCCTCTAAGCTGCGCATGATGTTCCATGCACAGTAACCGGTATCAGCGTGCTGATCACAGCATTGTTGTCTCATTCTAGAGGTCACTACTGCACACCAGCCTTGGAGAGACATGCAGCCACTAAGAGAATGTGGGGGAATGCCACTTATTATTGTTAAACTCCATTCTAGGATACAAGCTATGCCTCAGTAATCCACGCATGGCTCCACCAAAGCTGCAACACTGTGTTACAGGTATATTCCAAATCAAGATTTGGATATGACTTACTTTCCTATTTGCATGTTGTACCTTGTTGTTAAGCTTCTGTACTTAATGTACAAGAATAACACCAGAACTTATATTGATTGAATATTTTCAATATAGTAATATGTCACATAGTGTCTCACCAGAGCATTATGAACAAAAATTAAACACCTTCAAGGAGGAATGTGAAGTAAAGAGTATGAGGCATGGTCATCAATAAGAACAATTGAACTAGGGGATACCCAGCAAGCCAGATTTAGATAAGCACAGACATCTTGTTGAGGTATGAGGCTGGAGGAGATTACAAGGATAAGGAGGAGCGAGACACCTCAACTTCCTCTGAAAACTAACATTTAATAGTTTCTCAGCATTAAAAAAAGTTTTAGTATTCTTTCTACAAACATTATTCACATATTTCCTTATTACAAACATCATCTTCCTCTGCCTCATTCAGTCACTTAAACTTTGCAAACTCTCTGAGCAAATGATTTCCCTCAGGGATTGGGAAGAGTCCGAAAACTCTCACAAAAACAAAAACAGAAGTTGCTGAAAAGCTCAGCAGGTCTGGCAGCATCTGTGAAGAAAAAATCAGAGTTAACATTTCGGGTCCGGTGACCCTTCCTCAGACCCTTTCTCAAAACTCTCACCCTGCCCTTACACCCCCCGGTGGGGTGGGGATAACAGTCACCCATTGGGTTTTCATGGAAGTGTCCCTTTAATTGATGTGGGGACAGGTCCCTTTTCGAACGTAGGGTGCAGGCAGGCTCTTAGAGCTGGTAGATGGATCAGAAGCCTTCCAGCCTGAAAAGAACAGCTGGATCTGATGGTTGGTAAGTGAGTGCTTCAAAATGGAGGTGACCTCTGAGTAACTTTTATAAATCTTTAAATCAAACATGGTTCTTACAGCTAAACCACCATGACTGGGAGTGGGGAGGTGGCCCTCTCTAAAGGGCAGTATGTAGTTGCTCTCATATCCAGGAAGGGTGCAAGACACCTACAATTTGGGTTCTCTCAAATTATATTTCCCACCAAGCTTTGTTATCTTTTCTTTCTACCCAGAAGTGTTATCACACACAACTGTGAAACCTTCCCGCCACCAAAATCACAGTGACCCTTATTTTGCATTGCTGAAAAAATACTAACCACCACCAGCAAGAGCACCCATGTAGCCAATTCAGTGTTAACATGCAAAGCCCGTTATGGGAAATGCAAACCATTAAAAGAGATGGGGTGGGGAGCGGTTGCAGGGTAAGGGGACAGGAAAGGGGATAAATCAAAATGTAGTTGAAGGGAAAAATAAAGCATTGTATCCCTGACCTGGCTTTGTATTGTCAGCAAACCCGAATACGTTAGGCCTGGCCTCTACATCCAAGTCATTAATTTAGATTGCAAATAGCTGAGTGCACAGTACAGATCCTAATTGTATCTTACTTGTAACAGCATACCAACCTGAAAATAACCTCTTTATTCTTTTTCTGCTTCCTGTTCTTTAACCAATCCTCCATAGATATGATCTCCATTTCCATCCTGTGTACAAATCCTTTCAAAACTCAACTGTATTACGTTCATTGATTCCACTTTCTCTGCTAATATCATCCTCAAAAACACAATTTTTCTTTCATCCAACAATGTTGGCTTTGCCTAATTATGTCAGGAATTTTGAAGTGCTCCAATATTAGGCTAATCGGCCCATAGTTTCATAATTTCATCTCTTCCTACTTCCTTGAATTGCGATGTTCCAATCCAGATGGATAGTTCCAAAGTATAGGTATTTTTGCAAGAGCACATCAATGCATCTACTAACTTTGTAACCACCTCTTTAAGAACTTTAGGATGTAGGCCAGTGGATCCAGGAAACCTGTCACCTCGATCTCTCCAGTAGATTATCTTTATTAGCATCAATTTCTTTAAGTTCTTCACTCTAATGAAATCCTTGTGTTATGAACCAGGTCAGATCCCCTCAAAATATATTAACAAGATAGCCCAGACCCTATCTTTTTCTTATCTTAAAGGTAACTGTCAGGTGCTGTGTCCCAGATGCAATTCGATTAGTCAAACTACTCGATGTTAAGCAAAACACAATTTATTCAAATACTAGAGTTAAAATACAGCAAAAGAAAGAAGAACTGGGAATAACAACTCGACAAGAAAAACTTAATGGAATAATAGATGCAGTAACTATCACTAATTAACTGTTCCAATATAGTAACAAACCATAAATATATCCATGGAAAAAGGCACATTCAGAAAACAGATTTGTCTCACATGCGATCCAACAGCCCGGGAAGAGTACCCCAGCTTTTGGCTGTAACCGAGAGAGGGAAAAACAGCTTCCATTTCTTCAACACCCCAACAGCAACTGCTGCTGGAAACTAAAAATCCCTGGTTCTGTGAGAGCTTAGCCACATCCACTCAGGCTGCTTCAATTGTTACAACTTAAACAAAACCCAGGCCTCACAAGTTGTTTACCTTCTCATAGACTACTCTTCACCTGTCCACCAATTTCTCTCTAAAAGAAACCAGGACAAAACACACCTCTTAAAGCCACAGAATTGTCACACTTGGTTACCCATTAGTTTTTGCATGTTAATGTGCCTTTCAGTATAAACAAAGCATTTGTTTAATATCTCTGCCTCTTCCTTATTCCCCAATATAACTTATCCTCCTTCAGCTCCAAGAGTTTTATCTTTGCTTTTGATATCTTTACGTTCAGTACACTTGTTCTTCTCACATACTGCAATTTTAAGCCGTTTCTTCCTGACTAGAGCTTACTCGCTGATGATGATGACCATTAAACTGTGTCCCTTCTGTCACAATCCACTTACTGTTAGCAATCACTAACCCGCACTATGGCCTTGACCTTCTCTTTAGATTCTTTCCTTTCTGCTGACCAGAACCTTTCCCATCCCACTCCCAACATCATCATTTTAGTTTAAAGCCTCATCCACAGGTCCACTATGTGATCTGCCAGAGTACTGATTCCAGTATTGTTTAAGCAGAGACAGTTCAAATGGAACTGTATTGGTGCAAATACCCCATGAATTAAAACTCCTGTTCCTCACAACAGTTGTTCAGGCACGCCTTCAACTCTCTGCTCTATTCAACTCTATATTAATTTTCATATGGCTCAGATAGTCATTCATTAGTTAAAGGCACAATTTTACAGACCCGCTTGACTTTACAGCCCCCTTTGTAGAAACCACTCCCCCCCCATTTTACACACCCACCGCTAATTGAACCCAACAAATGCCCAATGAATGGCTACTTAAGAGCTTCTTCCCACCTAGTCACTGTTTGCAGTCAGTGGGAGAAAGTTGGCAGGGGATGGCAATCCTGGTAGGTAAAGGGGAAGACTCCTTCATTGGCCCCTTTTTCCAAACAGACTCCTCTGTCACTGTCTGCTCCCCACCCACAGGTCCTCTCCTCACTCCCCTTGTTTTGGCTTCTCCCTCCACACCCACACGCCTGCCCACCAACATCTTTTGATCCTGGCCCACAAAGAATTGCACCCATCCTCTTGTCACAGTTTACCTGGCATGTGTCTCCTCAAATTTGAGGTTAGATGCAGTCTCAGAAGTGGCCATCAATGCTGGTGTTGTGGCTAGGTGCCACACAGCTGACTGCTTTTCAATATGGCCCTTCCTTCCAGCTGGTGGCAGAAGGTTGGGGTCTCAACCCATTTAATGGTCCTTAGAGTTCACCACTGCACAGCAGGAAATCCTGCCACCCATAACATACTGCCTTATTACAATTGAACCTCTGCTCATTAATTTAGACATTAAGCACTCAAACCCCCTCAGCAGAACCTCATTGTACTTATGCTGCTGCTTTCCACAGTGATCACTCCCTTTTATACAAAGTTCTTCTCCAGCTACAAGGAGATGTCCTTAACTCTGGCATTTGATAGGCAGCAGCACCTTCTGTTTATCCATTTCTGTTCCATTCTATTATTCCTCTTCACTCTCACCACTTGAAGGATTTCCAATCCCGCATTTAGTGCTTGGTCAGTTTGCCCATCCACTTTGCAAACCTTCCTTCATCCACAAAAGGAACAAAATCCTTGTACCTGTTGGCCAAGGAGAAAACTAGAGGTTCTTCCAGCACCACACTGAAGTTCTCCTTACTTGTTTTATTTGTGGTCAAAGCCTCATGTCTATGACTGCTGACCTGACCAACCACTGAGACATTCAAGAGGGCACTGGCTGATTATTTGGATAGAAATGCTGTGCAGAAATATGGTGAAGAGTCAGGAGATTAGCAGTAGGTAACAGAAGCAAAGCAGGCATGATGGACTGAGTAGCTTCCTTCTGCAATGTAACAATTCTGTGATTCTACAACATCCTAACATAAGGGGCCTATATGCCTCTGGATCAAAGAGTCCAAGGAACTTTCCCTTCTCTGATACTTTGCAATACCTGCATCTCAAACTCCACCTCAGCAGCTGAGCAGACATTCTTGCAATGTAGGCATGAACTGCAGCCATCGTTCTGTGGGAGCCAACTTCTCCATGCAAACTCTTACATGATGTAGTTGCAGCACACAGACTGCACTGACATCCCTAAATATGTCATTTTATTTGTTAAATGATTTAAGGTTTATACATTTAATCAACTTAGCCTATAATTTTTAATATTCTTAACTAATTACTAATATTGTTTAAGCTACAGATAATTGAACTAAAAATATAACTTTAAACAAACTAGTGTCAGATGCAAATAACAACACTCCTCCCTTCCCTCCTGCACTGAATTCTCACTTTCAGTAAATTCTGTTTATGACCATTCTGTGTAATCGCTCTCTATTCTACTTGTTCTAATATGATTTTTTTTAAAAAGGGCAATACTTCCATTAAAATACATGCATGGAGGTCACCTAACCGAAACTGTCCACTGCATGGATGACAGCAAAGGGCCCGATTTTGATTATGACACAAGGACTGAGAAGAAAATAAAATAAACTGGAGGAGCAGGTACAGAAAGAGAAAGGAAGTGAGGCAAAAAAAAACTTTGAATCAAGAGGGAGACAAAACAGAAATAGCCCATTTGTTTATAAATACCAATGAACATCATTAACCTCACTATTATTTTGAGGGTAAATTCTGGATCAATATTTTTTAGTATCTTAAAACAATTATATTTAGCCCCGTACATTAATGACCAGAGTTTCTTACCTGATGTCGATATCCCAGGTGGACCAGGGCGACCAGACGGTCCTGGTGGACCTGAAGGTCCCATCATTCCAGCTGGACCCATTTCCCCTTTTAGTCCCTTCCAGATAAAGGGAAATAAATTAATGCAATGCAACGGGTTTTCTTTTGGAAATTAAACACCTGATAAAGTAAGTATTTTTCATATTTATATCAACATTCATCTTGAAATACTTGTCAACATTATATTTCTATTTAATGAATAAAGTCAATAGTTGTTTTTTCTCTTTCTATTAATTGTCATGTTATGGTGCAGATGTTTTGTAGGTGCTATTGCAAAATTTCATTGTTGGTGTGGAGATTCACTAGATGAGAGTGTGGGGTCACAACTGTACAGTTTCAATTACCCAAATATGTTTGTAATAAGTGGAATGTTCACATATTTTCTGTGTGGGTTTTGGAGTCCAACTATGGTTATGGCTAATTTCATTCCAACCAGAAGGACATATTATGGAATGTCCAGTCTCATAGATCATTACGCAATGGGAGGATGTCCTACTTTGACATATGTGTATTAGTAAAGAATCAGCACGTAGGCCCTCTTATCAACTGTATTTAAATGGCATCTCACTGTACTATATAAGAGAAGAAAGGTCACCGACTTACAAGTGATTCTAACAAAGACACCTCAGTCTTAGGTAAATTTGTTATGGTAGTCCCAAATATAGCGAGCCAGACCTTTATACCCTCCATGAGTCACCAATGGGCTGAAAGGTAACTTACAACTCTCACAAGGAATTCACTGGATACAATTACAACCAATCAAGTTCTCAACACACAGGAGTCATCCAGCGGTTTAAAAAAAAAACACAACACAAGGACTGAAATAAGTGAAAGTGGGCACTCTGTATATACCTCTGCCATACTGTATTAATTCAACATTATTATAATTACACAGCTTTTCTATGAGGGCTTACCCTGTCTAGTTGATGTTCTGCAGCTACAAAGCTCTAAAAAATATTATTTTTATTAAAAGTTTCCATCTCATTGAGAAAGCTTCAGGCCAATCCATATCTAACAACCTGCTCTGAAAACTGTGCTCACATTTTGACAGCTGTGATGAATTTCTCCATAGATAAGAAGCAACTTATCTCCACATTTTTAGAAAACATTAGGGGCACAAAATTTGGTCTTTAGTACCAATGATAAAAAAGTCAATGGTCCCCTGAGTAGGATATAACTGGGCCTGTACTAAAGCAGAATCAGCATAGTGTCTCATTCTGGGAAGTACACTCATGATTGTGTCAACTACATGCACCAGAAGCCTGTCACCTGATGCTGCCATGATAGCAAACTGCCAGCGTGACTGATTTGATGTCCTGTTTATAACTTCGATCATGCAGGGCAATTTATATTTGCTGTAGCTCATCAAAGAACATTCATTGAACTGTAAGTTGGGCCCAGCACTGATATAGTTTAAAGACCAAGCACTCAATTTGCATGCAAATAGCTTCTGATGTTGTAAGTACTGGCTGTTTTTATAAGTGTTGCGCTGAGGTGTTGAATTTGTCAGCAAATGTTGCTTCATTCTTTCAGGGGAGACAAAGGATATCATGACCTGACCTGTCCACACAAAAGCTGCAATTGCTTGCATTGCTTCTGAGTCTGCAGCACATCAGTACGATAGAACAGAGGCTACAGAAAGAGCATGTTCTGCACAAAGCCCTCTGCCAATATGGAAACAGATTGCTCGATGATTCTTGACAGTGACAGCAATCTGTTTGACAAACCAGCCAATGCAAACAGCATGTCAGTGTTATCAGTGTTCTCCTGTAAATCACTCCATCTAGGCTGCTCCAGCAGAAAGTATCTGCCACTTCAACTAAGAATCATCACAGACTCTTATTTGCCCCATGGCCTGACTGCAGTCACTCAGGCCCAGAACTCATTGGGATGGATTTTTAACAAACTAATTCAATGGGGTCCGCCTGATGGCCCCTGGCGACCCTGGCTCCTTCCACAACCAGCCCACTGATAGAAAGTGACCTATTCCCATTGCCTCCCCTCCAGAGGCACTGCTGAGAGTGAAGAGCTCTTGCAGAATGGCTCCTGTCTTTAAAGGGACGGGAGCCCTGAGGGCAACTAATTTGTTATTGGAAAAATGCAAAATCTGGCAGGGCTCTCATAAATACCCAAGGCTCCAGAGTAGAGAAGGGGCTTAAAGTAGGAAACTTCCATCATCCTCAATATTCTTAGCACACCCAGATATTACAGTCTCTATTGCTATACTTTGGGAGACCATCTCCTCCACAGGATATGGGAGATGAAGCCCCATCCCCAGCCACTTGGGCTCTGCTCTTTTGTATAGCCTGCATGGGAGGGAGGGAAATTCTAATTATCATGTTACAGAATGTCTGGGTGATGTTCCTGCCATAACTGAACAGCTGGAGATATGGGGAACTGGGTGTGAAGTCAGCAGCATTGGCAGGTGTATGAGGCTGAGTTGGAGGATTGGACTGTTTGAGTCCTGAGTGTGAAAGAGTTCTGTGTGGTGAATTTTCATGATATGGTACATTGAGCAGCATGAGAGTTTATTATTACAATGGTTGGGTGACGTTGTTGAAGAGACTTGCAATGAACTTCACAGCCCACGTGAGGTTATTAGACTTCTGGTGGCATTTTTGCCAGGTGATCAGGACCAAATACTGGCCATTGATGTCCTTAGTCAATGCTCCCACTCCCTTCTTTGAGCTTGACATGAGAACCTCATGGTCCCCTACAAGGACATGGCCTTTTTCCTGTTGACTATCTACACCACAGCCTATAGCACAATCTCAGTGAACCTAGGAACACATTCTCTTCCCTGATGTTTAATCTATGCAGCTTATCCATAGAGCCAGTATCAGGACAGGTGGCTAGTAGTACCTGCCGTCCTTGTGTGCAGCTTAGCATAACACGATTACAATATGAGGAAGCTCTGGATACTGGTGCAATCCAAGGTATCAGCAATAAGTGGGAACAGGAAATTCCATTCAGAGTTACTGAGCTGGACGATGAACGACAGACATGGTGGCACATTAGGGAGGGGTGAAGACTTACCTGGCACTTTATTCCAGGAGGAAGTCACTCCACCTAAGATAGCTTCCCAAAGTGAGAAGTCGGCACCTCAAGGTAGGACACCAGCTGACATTTTGAGGTTGCACCTCTGCTCTAACAGATCTCACAGAAGAGGCACAACAGTTTTCAAGCCCCAAAGAGGGTTTACAAAGGATTGGGTCTTCTGATCTGGTCAAGGACTGTAGGGTGTGAAAGCCAGTGAGACAGGTAAGAGGAACCAAAACAGAAGCATCAGCTTTTCAGCCTGTCCCAAAGGTCTGAAGTTTTATGTATGTATAAAAGTATGTTAATCTCACAGAGGGCATTGATGAAACCACATCTTGAATAGTGTGTGCATTTTACTCTCCTTGATGAAGGAAGGATGTATATGTATTAGAGGCCCTTCAGAAGAGGCTGAGTAGATTAATCCATTCTGAGGAAGGGTCACAGGACCCGAAACGTTAACTCTGTTTTCTCCTTCACAGATGCTGGCAGACCTGCTGAGCTTTTCCAGCAACTTTGTTTTTGTTCCTGATTTACAGCATCTGCAGTTCTTTTGTTTTTTTTTACTGAGTAGATTAATGTCTGGAATGAGTGGGTTGTTTTATAAGGAAGGATTGGACAGGCTGTCCTTATTTCCACTGGAGTTTGGGGTATACAAGGTGTGCTTTGATGGATGTTTATAAGATCCCAAATGGTCTTGACAAGGTGGATGTGAAAAGGATGTTTACTCTTCAGGGTGAATCCAGAACCAGGAGACCCTTGTTTACAAATTAGGGGGCACACTTTCAGAGCAGAGTGAAGGAGCTTTTCTCTCAAAAGGTTGTATGATTTTAGAATTCTTTGCCTCAGAAGGTGTTGCAAGCAGATTCATTGAATATTTTTAAGGCAGAGGTATATTGATTCCTTTGCCTAAAGTTATCAGCAGCAGATAGAAATGTAGAATTCAGAACACAAGCAGATCAAATTTAATCTTAATGAATTGTGTAGCAGGCTTGAAGGGCAGGATGGCTTAATTGTTCTCCTATTTCATGTGTTTGTATGTACTGTCTTTAAGAAGAGGAGATTATCTCGCATACCATCAGCATCCAGTTCACCTCCTGCTTAACACTCAGGCTGCTTGCTGTGTTCACCTCACTATCTGATAAATGAACAGACAGCACCACACTTGCATAGGTGCACCAATTTTTGGCTCAATCCTTGCAAATGTCGAGGAGCTGACTCCAGAGATCTCACCTCCGGGAGCACCAAAAGTCCCTGTGACATAAAAGTCAGTCACATGGTAACTGGTAGTGCATTGCCGCGTATCTCCATAGATTTTCACATATCATGGTGATATGCCCCTAATTAGTCACAACCTTCCATTGCTTAAAATTTTGCACAGTTTGCTCCATTAAAGTGCTAAGCTACCAATTATGACAAATCATTAGCCGAGGATATTAGTTGCTGCAAACTGTGCGCTCCAAATTTATCCTCCTTGTCTTCTGTTCTACTGATGTGCTTCTGGTACCACTGGCCATAACCGTATCCCAGGACAGTATTTAGATTTTGTACCAATATGGTAATACTTTTCAACTTTATTAAAATCATGGCTATCAGGTCCTACCTTAAATGAAAAATGAGCTTTTCAATTTAATGCACAATGAAGCACAATTTCCTTTTGTCAATTTCAACAATCAAGTAGTGGATTTTTTTTACTTCAGACTTCAGATGAACTTAGCTGATCTATTTCTGGATGGGATAAGAATTCTCAACCTGTGCCAAGTAACGAGGAATATTCTTTTAATACTTTCTACTGAGGTAATGCCACTCTTTACTTTATTGCTAAAATTAGTTACAAAAGATAAAGTTTCTCCATTTATAAGCCATTTTCTGTTCAAAACATTCAAAAGTGACAAGGTCTTCAAAAAGCCTTTCTCATCTTCCAGTTGACCAATGTGGCCTGTTTTTGTGTCACAATTCTTTGTGTTGAATTAAATACATTGAAAACACATCACAATACCTCTGAGAAATATATCAGACTTA